AAATAAATTGACCACAATATCCCTGAAATTTTTAGGGGTATTTTGGTCAATTTATTTTTTACAAATTATTTTAAATAATTTTATTAGGTGCTTCTTAGAGAAGACTGGAGTGGATGCGGCAAATTTTAGCTAATTTGGATTTGTAGAAAAAAAGATAAAATTCAAGGACGAAATATAGCTATGACCTTCATATTGGCCCAGATTCAAAGTGGGCCCCCCTTGAGCTTAACGAAAGTTACTCCCATATAATAGCTCTATAGCATCAGCCCTTAGGCTGACAAAATCACTTTTTTTATGTAATAAGATCTTTATTTTTTTTTATTTTTTTTTATTTGTTCATGTTGTGAATAGCTTAATGTAGAAATAGTTGTGTGTTTGCTTTTGACTTCTTATTGTTTTTGGTCCCATGCAATATCAGCCTGAAAACTCCTGTCGAGAATTCCTTGAGAGATGCAAAGCTCTCGTTCAAGGATTTGGATGAGGTTATCCTTGTTGGTGGGTCTACAAGAATCCCAGCCGTTCAGGAGCTTGTGAAGAAGATAACTGGGAAAGAGCCGAATGTCACTGTTAACCCTGATGAAGTTGTGGCCCTAGGGGCTGCAGTACAGGTCATCTCTCTCTCTCTCTCTCTCTCTCTCTGTGCGTGCACGTGTGTGTGTGTGTGCGTGTTAACAATGTTCCTCTCCGATATAGTGAGGGACTACCAAATTTTTTTGAAAGGCCACCGTATCAGTCTCCTCCAAATTGTATTTAGTGGTATCTAGAGAGGATCCAATGCCCCCAAATCTATGATCCATTCAAATGGACTGCTAGGTTTGATGGGGGGCTGGCTCGCTGTGAAACAGGACACACACACACGCAGAAAAAAAGTTTAAAAAGGCCTAGGCCCTTATGGGAAGACCTTGTAACTCCCCAAAAATTGTAGTTCCGATGTAAGAACACCTTCAAATCAATTATTTTGACGTTGACAATTGTGGTTGTGAAAAAAATTAGTATTCTAATTCCTAAAAATAAAATATATTGTGACATATTATCTAAATCATCCATTTTCAAGTGTTTTCAGATCTGGCAGATCTGTACCATTTTCTTGAGCTTCAAATTTCATAATTAGCAGTGAAAATTGATTTTAGAGCTGTCATAGAGATTTCTGATACCCTGTGTGCTGCGTGTGCGTGTGCGCACGTGTGCATGTGCCTGTGCGTGCTAGCTAGTAAGCAGCTGGGTGTTGCGGGACTTTAGAAGATATAGCTAATTGTGGATGTTATCAACCAGTTCTTTGGTCCTCAAATTACAAAAGAATAGATTATGAGTGCGCCTACAAGGGTTTTGGCTGCACTAAATGCCTGTCCATGTATTGGTTAGTGTGGGAAGGGGTTCTAGGGTGGACAGAAGTCTTTCACGACCTGCTGTTGAGAGAGAGTCTTTATGCTAGAGAGATGGGCTTTATGTTGAAGATTTGAGAGAGAGGGAGTCTTTGTCGAAGATTTTCTCCCCTGCTGTCTGTTTGTTTGAGAGAGAGAGAGAGAGAGAGAGAGAGAGAGATGATAGTCGCTATGTCCAAGATTTTCTGCCATGACAAGAACTCAACTGGCGCTTCATTCATGGGAAGATAACTACATCCAGTTTTACCTATCCAAGCAACAACAGCATCATTAACAACATACCCATTGTTTCTTTTTCAACAGGCAGGAGTGCTTGCTGGTGACGTGAGTGACATTGTGCTTTTGGATGTAACCCCTCTTTCCCTTGGTCTTGAAACCCTCGGAGGAGTAATGACAAAGATCATCCCTCGAAACACCACTCTCCCAACCTCCAAATCTGAGGTCTTCTCAACTGCAGCTGATGGGCAAACAAGTGTGGAAATCAATGTGCTCCAGGGAGAGAGAGAGTTTGTGAGGGACAACAAGTCACTGGGGTCTTTTAGGCTCGATGGCATCCCACCTGCACCACGGGGAGTGCCGCAGATTGAGGTCAAATTTGATATTGATGCCAATGGGATACTATCGGTGGCAGCCGTGGACAAGGGGACAGGGAAGAAACAGGACATCACCATCACCGGTGCAAGTACCTTGCCCAATGATGAGGTATTTTTTTTACATTGTGTGTGTGCAAGCTCGCGCTTATGTGTTTTGACCAAAATCTCTGTCACTGCAATATTGGAATGGTCTCTTCCAAGAATCTATTCTATAAAATGTTCCACTCACTCATCCTTCAGTAGTAGGTGGTCAGGTTCTCTCTCTCGGCATGTTTGAATGGTTTCAGCTCTCCTAAGATTCTAGGCTGTGCTGCAGTACCTTGGTCCGAGTTATTTCTAATATTAGCAGTCCGAAAAAAATTTTTTTTTTTTTGACAAGGTTTCGTAGGAATGGAGTTTGAGATGTTGGGCTATGAAAAACCTACCATCTTGACCCAAGCCTGTTTGACCCAAGCCTGTTTCCTTGCAGTCCCTAAATTTTCTGAAGCTCTTTGTTCAAAAGTCTGATGCCTAAGACTGCTTCAAGGGTTTCAATGAGCATCCTTTCCAACGAGAATGCCAACTCTTTCACCTGCTTTCATAACCTCAACGAGTCCTCTCTTTATGTTTGTGTGTGAGTGATTGGATTTCCTAAACTATGGAATGGAATGAAAACTCCATGCTACTAGTCTATACTTAGAAATGGCTGCCATCTCCCTTATTTGGCAGTCAGTGTAATGCGATTCTCTGTTCTGCTATTTGTTACTTTGAAATTTGAATTGCTATTTTGTCCTCCATATGCCTCATCCAATTTGTCTCTTGGTGTATTGTCTGAAAACATGGCTAGCTTTCCCCTCTTAAAACACCCCAAGACTCTCTCCCACCACATTTTGCATGCTCATCACGAGTCTCAGATTTCTGGTTCAACTTGACGCCTGCTATCAATCTTTTTACTACTTGATGTGTAGCTTTCAGAGAGATTCAGATAATGATGTTTTTACCATTGCATACAGGTGGATAGAATGGTGAGAGAGGCAGAGAGATTTGCCAAAGAAGACAAGGAGAAGAGGGATACAATCGACACCAAGAACCAGGCAGATTCTGTTGTTTACCAAACTGAAAAGCAACTCAAAGAGCTTGGTGACAAGGTCCCTGCCTCGGTCAAAGAAAAGGTGGAGTCAAAGCTCTCTGAGCTCAAGGGTGCCATCTCAGGGGGCAACACTCAAGCGATGAAGGACGCAATGGCAGCCCTCAACCAGGAAGTGATGCAGCTCGGGCAGTCCCTCTACAACCAGCCTGGTGCAGCCCCTGGTGGGCCAGGAGCTGGGCCCACAGCCGGAGAGGCTGCAGGATCTGATGGCAAAGCAGCGGATGGGGGTGATGTGATTGATGCCGACTTCACTGATAGCAAGTGAGGTCTCCATTTATCTCTCTCTGTTTAGTGAACACTGTATATTCGTGGGGATTTTTTAGAGGAAGGGCTCATTTTGGTTTCTTTTTTTTTTCTTCTTTAATTTCTGTGTTGGGTTGAGATGTGTGTGGATGCGGCATTTTTGGGGGTGATGGTTTGTCATTACGATTAATGGTTCTGCCTTACACTACTTATTGGAATGAGATCAACTCTCTCTCGCTCTCTCTCTCTATGTTTATGTATATCTGAGATGTGATAATTGTAAACTTTGAGGATTGTGGCAGATTTCACTAGTAGGTAGCCGAGGGCATAAATTTAGGGATGAAAGATCTTAGCTAGTTTTATCAGAATATGGGGTCAGTGCAAGATTAGGACTTGTATCCTTGCTTGTCTGAAAAATTGGCTTTTTGAAATGCAAGAGACGAGGGGTCATGTTTTTTGGCTTGTCTTGGATATTGGCAAGTGGATTCAGCTCCCTGTCTACCCTCTAGCGAGGGAAGTCTGAACACTACTTGTTCTTTAGTCTGGGTGGTCTTGTTCTTAACAGTGAGTTTATGTTTTTTTTTTTTTTTATGTTAATTTTTTTTTTTGTTTTTGGACTTTCATACTAAAATCTTTTAATATTTATATTTGTCTCCAAATGTCTTTTTGACTTTGGATTTTTAACGGAATCCATATGACTTCAGATTGAAGTTCCTAATAGTTTTTTTTATTGGGATCTTCATGGTTCAAAATTAAGTTTTACCGAAATGACTTTAGGTAAGATTATAAAGGCGACGGGAGACGATAAAAGCACGGTATTTGGAGGTGGGAATGACATTTCGAACATGGACTGATTAGGTTTTTCGGAGAATAATGGACCTCTAAAGGCAGATTATACAAAAATAGACTTGGTGGGGTTGAAGAATTTTAGGACTAAAGGTATAGAGTGAACATGATGGGTAAAGGTGGAGAAATCCTCTCTGGGGATGTGGCATCCTCAGGCCAGGCAACAGGTTCGAACTAAAAACTTGACGATGACCTAGCGATGGCCGACAAAGTCGGAACCACCGCGGGTGGGATGAGGTACATCACAGAAAGTCGAGAGAGTCGGAAGTCATTCCTGGTGAGACAATGCAGCTGGGGGATTGCCACGGTGGCACCAGCTGCAGTACGGCTCAGCCACAAATGGCAAGTATGCTGAGTCTCATTGAGCTGAAGCCCAGAAATTCGATGGGAATAATTGCGTGGCATGGGGTTAGTATAAAAAATTTGTGTATACCAATCATTATCATCATCGTCATAGCTTTATTTTAACTACCCATTGAGGAAAAGTCGATAAACTAAAAGTGAAAGGTTGCGGTTTGTATAAAGCTGAGCTCCAATCAGTCAAAGTAAAGTGCACCTTAAAATAATGTCGAGAAATATAGTTTTAATATTGGACGTGGATGGAGCCACAATCAAAGTGCATGGAGCCACAATGTGAAATCTAAAGTTCCATTCTCTCAGGTTCGAAATCAGTATTTCAAGAAGATAAAAAAGCATTTCACCATGCAATCAATGAAATCTGTACATAAATTAGTTGGTGTGGATAAGGTGCATAATTTGTTTGGAAAGAAGCGAGCACCGTCAACTAGATCTTATTTTAAATTAATAAAATTTACCAACTAGTGAACATTGACAATTAAAAGTCAACAAATTAACAAGGCATATACCTTAATTTTTTTGGAAGAAAAAATAAAAACTTGTCTTAATCCTATGTGCATGTGTGGAGAACTTGTTTATTGAAACTTTATAATGAGTAGTCATGCCAAACATCCATGCCCCTTGGATTGGGAATCTCAAATGGCACTAAATTTATTTCTATCAATATTAGATGGTTTTCCTATGGTGTTTTTCAAAAGTTTTGGGATATTTGAATGAGGACTTACTCGCCATGGTCAAAAAGTTATTTATTAGGAGTCAAATCTTTAAAGGTATTAACTCTACCTTCTTTGCTCTAATTCCCAAAATCGAATATCAGTGAGCTTTCTGATATCAGATCTATTAGCCTGCTTACGAGTACCTATAAAATTATTGCCAAATGTTTTGTTGAGAGACTTAAAGAAGTTCTTCCCTTCCTCATCTCAAAGTCTCAGTCGGTGTTTATCAAGGATAAGCAGATTACATATGGTGTTCTGGTGGCGCAGAAATATATTCACTCTCGTGTCCTCAGTAAAGTGGAAGGTATTATGCTAAAATTGGACATGGATAAGGCTTATGATAGGGTGAAATGGGGGGTCTTATTAGAAGTTATGAAATTGATGGGTTTTGGTGGTAGATGGAGAAGCTGGATTTATGGGTGTCTTTCTTCTGCGCATTTCACTATTCTATTCAAAGGAAATCCCACTAGTTTTTTCAATGCCTCTAGGGGACTTCGCCAAGGTGATCCTCTATCGCCTTTTCTTTATACCATTTATGCATAATGTTTTAGTCTCATGCTTAATAACATTGAGAGCAGTGGAGCCTTCACAGGTTTCCAAATTACAAACTCAGATATCAATGTGTCTCATCTCCCAGATGGGGATGATACACTTGCGTTTTGTGATGATAAAGCATAACAACATGAAAATATTGCAAGATTCCTTGAAATTTACGAAGTGGTTTTAGGGATCAAAGTAAACCTTCACAAGTCGTCTTTGCTGAGTATTAACTGTCGAGAGAGGCTGGCTGAGAATCTTGCAAGAGTGGTGAGTTGCAAAGTGGGTTCGTTTCCTATTTTCTACTTGGGCCTACCAATTTCGGATTCTAAAATCCCTATTGCTGTATGGGACAAGGTAATTGAAAGAATTTAAGTTAAGTTAGATTTATGGAAGCACAAGTACTTATCTTTTGGTGGTAGGGTAACTTTGCTCCGTTCTTGCTTAGCCAACTTACCTGTATACTAGATGTCATTGATCCAATTCCGGCTTCAGTGAGGAGAATGATAGAGAAAATGATGAGAGATTTTCTTTGGGGATCGGGGAAAGAGCATAGAAAGTTTCATTTGGTCAAATGAGATAGGGTTTGTACTCCCAAACATGAAGGTGGCCTTGGTATTCGTAATATTATGGAATTTAATGAGGCTTTACTGTGTAAATGGTAGTGGCGTACTACCTATTTTATGGATCATCTTTGGCATAATGTGCTATTCTCAAAATATGGGATGGACAACCACAATTGATGGCTCGATGGAGGTAGAGGGAAAGAGGTCTCTTATACTTTGAAAGCTATTTATAATTGTAGACCTATGATCTCGGGGTATTTTAAATGAAATATTGGCAATGCCAGGCAGGCCTTATTTTGATATCATAAGTGAATTGGAATGTTCGTCCTTAAAGTTGCTTTCCCTGACCTTTTTCGTGTGGTCACTGAACCATATTTGTTTGTTGGAGATGTAGTAGAAAGAAGAGCAGATAGGTTGTTTTGGAATATCAATCTCAGATATAGGAGGCTGAGTAATGTCGTTTTCTTCCAATTGTGTGCCTTGATGGAATTGTTGGAAAAATTTATATCTCACATGATGCTGTAGATGAGATGGTATGGTAGATTGAGAGCGATGGTCTTTCTACGTAAAATCTCATTACAATTGTTTTTCATGATCGCTAGAGGTGGTCATTTATTGAGATTGTCCACATTTGGAAATGGCCTATTCCCCATAAAGTTCAGCTTTTTATCTGGCTTGCAGCACAACAAAATTTTTTGACTATTGATGACCTAATGAAGCGAGGTAAGATTTTGACTAATGTCTGTTTACTTTGCAAATAAGACCGGGAATCTGTTGCACACTTATTGATGCATTGCCCTTTCTCCTCCTAGTTTTGGCATTGGTTGTTTAATTTGGTTGGGGTTTCTTTGGTTATGCCGTATAAGGTATCCGAAATGCTCACACAGTTCTCAATGCCCCTTTCTTCTAAGCCAAGGAGAATTGTCTAGAAGATTGCAGTAGGTATGATATTGTAGAAAATCTTGAAAGAAAAGAATAAAATGACTTTTGAAGGTGTAATCTTACCCTCCCAAAAGGTTGCTCTGTTAATTCAGCAGTCTATTTGGTATTCTCCTTCCGTGACCAATGAGGGATGGGGAATTACCAAATTGGATGTCATGTGCAACCTCTCTAATATTTTTACACTTGGAATGAGAAAAGCTGGACCTAAGGCTTTATGGTGTGCTCCTCCCTTTGGATGCCTTAAGATTGATTTTGGTGGTAGCTCAATGGGTAATCCAAGTCTGGTGGGTATTGGGGGAATTATTCAAGATTGTTTTGGGAACACTATTATTTCTTATGCAAGACCTATTGGTGTGGCAACTTCGAATCTTACAGAGATGAACGCTTTACTTAGCTTATTTTTGTACACCGCAACTTGGGGGATGTTTGTATTGTTGAAGTAGATTATTCGAACGTCATAAATTGGCGTAAGAAAGAGCAATTTGTTGCGTGGGAACTTCGGTCTTTGTGGCTACAGATTTTGGATGTTTGAGCTTCCTTATCTATTTATTTCTCCCATGTATTTCGAGAGGATAATGAGGATGCTGATACTTTGGATAAATGGGGTGTTGGTCTTGATTCTATTATTGTTTCTTTTGATGTAATTTCTTTTAGGAAAGCTTTCTATGTTCCCCCCTACAACATAAAAGTCCTATCCTCCCCTCATCCAACCGTCAATTTTTAAATGGAGGGTTAAGATTGCCCCAATCACAATGTCATGTCTCTACACTGTTTTATTTTTAATTTTTTTTCTATAAAACTTTTTGACACCGAATTTTGGATGCCCATTACTCTATTAAACTTGCACTAACTAAAAATATAAAATAATATTTTCAATAACATAAAATAACCAAAATACCCTTGAAAGCTTCAAAGGGTGTTTTGGCCATTTTTTATCGAAAAATTATTGTTAATATTTTTTATAGTTGCGCTCCAATGAGAAGATGACATGCACCAAATTTCATATTCAGAAAAATTTTATTAAAAAAACTAAAAATAAATTACTCTGAAATGTCGGATCTAAGATCAAACGGTAAGTGACTCTCTTGATAAAAAACGGACGGCTGGATGGTAGGGGGAGGATAAAACTTTTATGTTGTAAGGGGAACATAGAAAGCTTTCCCATTTCCTTTTAGCATTTCAATAAAGTTTTGAATATCGATAAAAAAAAAGGCTATCTATTTTTCAAATTTATTTCCCATGGTTATAATCGTATCAATTTAAAATGGTGTACAAATGGACATCACCAAAAATTAATGGGAATGTATACTATAAGACACTTATGATATAAGAAGGTCACCTTACTTTTAGCCAATGGAGATAAAATCCTACATGTTCAAGTGTATTACAATTTTTGAGGAATTCTATTTTGGATTTTATGCTTAATTAGCCTAACAATATCAATCGCCTGATTTCACATCATATGGTCAATAATAATTGTGACGTTTTTGTATAAAAAATAAATAGTATTATCATATGCATTTCCAAATTTAATATGTATAGCATGAATGATCGAGGGATTGAAAAAAAAAAACAAAAAAAATAAAAATAAATTATAAGTATTCTATGATATAGACATTATTACTGTGTGGGCTCATCTGTATAGTAACCTGTGTCACCCACCGTTCAACTTTGTTGCACGGTGGTCATTGAAAGATAGAATTTCAATAACCATCGTGCAAGTTCATACGTGGGCCTTTATATGAACTTTTCTCTTGGAATATTGGTTGAGTCACCCCAGCTGGCTCGCAAAGTCGACTCGGCTGACTTGGACCCAGAGGGGACCTAGTTCGTTTCCCCGAGCCGGGTTTTTAACCATTGCACTGAAACTTGAAAAGCAAAACAAGGTATTTACATGTATATGGTCATACTACTCATCCCCGTCAAATGGTTTGGTTGGACGGTGATAAAGAGAGAACAAAATTCGAAAGACATGATGTCCGTTCAGTTGTATATTCATTCTCTCTTCATCACCATTGATTGCTAGGTGGTGATCGTTACCACTTGCCATGGACAGTTCCCTACATGAACAGTTATACCGTACACAGTCTCTCTAGTCCGTATAGCTAAGGAGGCCGTTTATGAGCAGTTGCACTACACACGTGCTGTGTATGGTATACACTGAATATTTCTTCCTTCCCCTGTGATGTTCCCTTCCCGCCCTTTCTATCCCTTTCCGCCTTCCACTTTCTCTCTCTAAAATACCTAACCTCTCTCATTCTCTCTCTCTCTCTCTCTCTCTCTCTCTCTCTCTCTCTCTTTCCCATAAGCTCTTTCATTATCTCTATCAAACACCTTCTCTCTCTCTCTCTCTAAAACGCCTAATCTCTCTCTCTAAAAACAATGAGGGGAGGGGTAGTGCAGATAACATGGCATGACGCACAACCAGTGCTAACCCTAGATTTCCACTCTCTTACTAACCTCCTTGCAACTGGCGGTGCAGACAAAGACATAAAGGTGATAGCACACAGACGCATACTTCTTTAATGGCTTCTACCAAAATGCACAAGCCCATGATTTTTGCTCATTTATCTTCATGATTATTGCCGACTTCTTGAGTAATTTCCCAAATCCTTACGATTAGAGGGACTTTGGTTTTCTCTTATTTCCTAATCTGGTTGATCTCATGGGGTTTCTCATAGGTAAATCTGTTTATCAGGGTTTTACATTCTGCATTTTTGGCATGAAAGCCATAATTCGTTCTCGAATGCATGACAGCTATAATTCGTTCTTGAATGTTCTTCCCACAATTGACAGCCAATGTGATCATTAGTCTTTATCTATAGTATAAGTGTAATGCAATTTTCTAAAATTTAAATTTTCCAATTGAGAAATGTTTTCTATAAGGTTTTGTCTGACATGTTTCTTTCTGTAATATATGCTAAAAAGGGGACCTTGATTAGTTATTAAAGCTTTGGAGAGGTGTAAGGAATGGGATCTTGATGGTTTACTAATTTAGCAGGGGGATCTTTGTTATGGCATCTTAACTAATCTTATTTCAATGGATTATATGAATATTGGACTATGAAGTGAAAAAACATAACCTGTATTTGAGAATGCATCCCATATCATCGAAATAAAACAAAATACAACTTTATCACTTGTGGAGCTCTCACCCATCCTTGTTTATAAAGAAGTGCTATTCCTTATCAGGGAACTGGACCAATATTTCATTAGCATTTATACTTCCATTTTCATGTGCATTTGGTTATTAAACCAACTAAAACTTACTGCTATAATGAAGTTCAAGATTCCTTGGGAGGTTATATTTTTTACTTTTAACCAGCTGCTAGCATTGAGATCATTCATTCGGTTATTGAGATGATGCACGATGTTTCCCTGTAGTGCTCTAAGTAATGCCACAGTGCCGATGCTTTTTCATTGTTGAGTATCTGTGTTGATATTTTTGCTGCTGTGCACTACTAGGAGCTTCACAGAGACACATGTGAAGCAGATACTTAGCACTGGCAAAAATATTGGTAATGCGGCAAAAGCATACTGAGCAATACTAGTGGTTGTGTTCTTCAGAAGCTCAAGTAGTGTGATGGTCCTTCCCATGTTTTGTTTTTCAGAACATAAGATATTCTATGTTACTAGCAGCATTCATGAAACAACACTATATCTGATTTCCCATGAATGATATATGCTACTTACTTTAGTGATTTCTCTTGTTTGGATCCACTCCTTTTTGAGTCCTTCAGCTATTGATTTAGCTGAAACCTCCCCAAAGAGCATTGATATCTATCTTGAGGAGTCCCATGAGCACCATCCCACCCTTGAACCAATTCCAAACTCCATCTGTAGGACCGTAACCTGTGATTCTGGAAATTATGTCCATAATTTTGCCTTCATCTCTGTGCATATGTTTACTAGGAAATTCAAGTTCTTTGCCCTTCTAATGTTTAGAATTGTAGGGTTTTCCTTTATCGTCAGGTGTGACTACATTTAATAATCTTGGGGAAATTAACTTCATTTAACCTTCTATGTTAGGATTGTATTACATTGAACCACATATGGAGCCCCATGATATGACTTGATTAATGAGAATACCAGGTGCCTAGGTTCTGAACTGTCTATTTGAGTTCAGGTAAGCTTGCAGCAATTCATGTTGTGAGTTATAAGTTAATTTTTATTCAAATGCTGGAAAGATAAACATGAACCAAAAATTATGTCATAGGGTTTGCCTATCCTGCTCTCCTGTCGTGCTACTCCATTGGCAGTCTGTCGTACACTGAGGTAACATGCTCCAACTTGTCTCCCTACTTGGTGTTGCATCCTTAGAACTCTCTAACCAACTATGAATTTAACACTACCTTTTTGAATATTTCATAATTTGATAAGAAGCATAAGTTCGTGCTTCTTGCAGCTAACAATTTCCTTAAGCGAACTTTTGTATTATTTAAAACTCTCTGACTTCTAATTGTAAGTACTCTTTTTGTATCTCTGTTCCATAGTAAAGATGCTTTTTATTTGCTAGGTAGATTGGAGTTTTAGCCGTTGCCCTTGATGAGGGTAAGGGAAAACAGAAAATATGGGGAGGAGAGAACGATATTTAAGAGGGGAATGGGGTTAAGAGAATGGGGGAAGGGCAACAAGGGCTAGAAGAACATAAAGGCATTGGGGATTGAAAAGGAGAAGCAGCAAAGGCCTAGGAAATATTGGAGGTAAGGGGAAGGAAATAGTTTGTTATGTGCCATAAAGGGCATGCTGTGCTTGGAATTTGAGGTGTCATGTCCATCTGTTTCCTAATTTATGACTCTGAATTTGGTTGTTAAACATCACTTGAGTGTTTCTGTTTCCTATCAACCAAAACTGTTTATGTGAGCAATCTTCGGTTTGTCTAGAGTTTTCAATGGCTTTTTTGTCAGAAATAAGAACGTACCAATTGAATAGCAGTGTGCCTTTGTTTTAATTTTTGATGACTTATTGTGAATGTCAATGTAATCCTTGATCCGTTGTTTTTCTCAATGGTCTGTTCGAAAACATGGTTCATAACCTTTGTTTCTCAAGAGTTTGTTCCTTGCTTTAATGCAAGCACAGAAGGGGTTGTTTTGAGTCTGTCGACATCATTGTGATATCATATTTGATGTGTGTTTGGGGTGACATAGAATATTCTTGTTACCATTGCACTAAATTCTATCTTACCTGCATGTTAACCAGATTATGATTCCTTTTACTGATTCAGGTAGGTTTATGTGCAGCTATGGGCATTAGTTCAAAGTGAAGCTCAAAAGAAAGCTCCAACTGCATGCTACCAAACTAGCCTTCCTCCTCATCATAGCACAGCTGTAAATGTATTGCGTTTTTCTCCATCTGGTAAGTTACTTTTATGCAACAATGCTCCCAAGTTAAGAAGTTAATTTGCTATATACGAAAAATACTTTTTTGTTGTAGAAAGAACTTTTTTTATTTTTCATAGGCAAAATTTTTTTATTTTTTATTTTTTAATATATATATTTGATTTTACTGGCAATTAGAACACATTTTTTTTCTGATAGAATCTCAATCCGGTACCAAGGAATGAATCCAACAATTGTTTCCTGGAGTAATTTTGGCAATAATTCCTATTGTATTTAAAGGTTATATTCAGAATTGGGAAATGATTACTGTATTGATTTATGCAGGAGAGCAGCTTGCATCGGGTGCTGATGGTAAGTAGGGCCTTCCCTGTGTGTGTTTGTTTTATTTCATGTCATTGCTTCTGTCCTTGCCTTCCCTACAGCATTTAAAAAGCCGAGTTGGTTTTCGTGCTCCTACTTGTTTAACCAAAAGGGAACTTATGCTGTAATGCATTGGACTATGGAAAGCCACTGTTTCTGGGGCCATGACCGCCCAATGGAATGACCAATGCCAATGGAGAGTGGGATCTGCCATTTTGTTCATGTATGGATCTGGTGGGTCCCACTCTCTGTGCATCACCATCCATCGTTTCACTGAATGGTTGACTTTTTCATTGTCTTTGGGATTACATCGTGCTTTTAATTATTGCCTTTCTATTGAGGAGCTACTAATTGGTTTTTTGGAATGCTAGGTGGGGAGCTGGCGATATGGAAGATGCAGTCAGATGATCGCCATACCTGGAAAGTATTGAAGACCTTGTCGTAAGACATTCCAATCGATGTTTCCATCTACTTTGTTTTATAGTAAGTTGCTTTTAGTCAAGCTACGTTCTTGTGAAATACCTTAAGTAATAATTGAAATTTACTTGAACAATCAGATTCCACCGTAAAGATGTTCTGGACCTGCAGTGGTCAACAGATGGAGCTTTTCTTCTTTCTGGGTCCGTTGATAACTCATGCATCATTTGGGATGTCAATAAAGGTAGCTGGTTGAAATGAGGCCATGGTGGATATGTGGCTTTCCAAGAACCTCTATACTGGCAGAACTCGTAGCTATACTTAACATATTTCATTTCAGGTGCAGTGCACCAAATTTTGGATGCTCACTTGCATTATGTTCAAGGAGTTGCATGGGATCCTTCAGGGCAATACCTAGCTTCACTGAGTTCAGATAGAACTTGTCGAATATATTCTAGGAAGCCTCAGAAGAATAAGGCAAAAGGGCAAGAAAATCTGAATTATGTATGCCAGCATGTTGTCTCAAAAGGAGAATTTCAAAATTTGGGTGACACGAAGGTTTGAATTTCTTCTTTTGTGAGGTCTTATAAGGGAAAGTATACCATAATCCAATGGATTATGGGAAACCTGTAGTTCATTGGTTTGTCAGTGTTCAATGAAATGATGCATGGATATGAAGAGAGAGTGGATCCCACTAAAACAGAACATGGCAGTCCCACCGTCTCTCTATCACTGTCCATTTTCACTGGATGATACCACCCGAATAGCCTTATGCTTTTTTCATAGTCCACAGGATTATAGTATACTTTCTCATTCTTAAAAAGCTGACATTTTTTATTGTTGGTTCGCTTGATGATTAATTTTACGTTCTTTACATTTACTTTCAGTTATCATCGGCAAGGCATCATCTGTTTCATGATGAGACATTGCCATCTTTCTTCCGAAGGCTGGCATGGTCTCCTGATGGATCTTTTCTATTGGCACCAGCAGGTATTAAGAGAGAACACATATGTTTATTAGAATGTGAGGTTGCAATATCACATGCTCCAATAGTTCTCTATGTTAATCAACCTTTATCACTTGTAAAATTGTGAAGCATTTTAAGATTTGAAGTTTTAGTTCACTTTTCTTGTGATCTTCTCAATGTATCGTATAGTGACCTTTGAGAACCATTGCACAGGTGGTGCTCTACTTCAATGGGAACCTATCTGTATCTGGCATTCCTTAACCCATGTTTATGTTATCTTTGGATGTTTTTCAAATTGTAACTTGTTTCAACACATCCGAAAGAAGTTTAAAGTGCTTAAGCCCTCTGTTAAGAGTTTCTCACTAGGACATCTCAGAAATAGTTTTTGGCCCTAGAATATATTCTTCTAATGGGAACATAATTGCTTTGCACACCCAGCAAGAGTAAACCTTTGTTTCGTAGATTATATATCAATATCCAATGATTCGGATCAGACATTAGACTTGGCCCTTGCCAAGCCGAGTTACTTGGATGAGTAGTGTCCCCTTGGGAAAAGCAAAAAAATAAAAATAGAAATAAAAAAGGAAGCAAACTCGGCATGTGCCCAAGTGAGAGAGAGGGCTTTGGATACGTGGCCAAGGAAAGAGAGAGCATGGTTCTCTCCCTTGGCCAAATCTCTTTCTCCTCCCCCTGGCCATCTCTCTCTCTCTCTCTCTGGTCAAGCATCTCTCCCTCTCTCACTTGGGGTGGGGGGGGGGGGTTGCAACAGAGAGATCTCTTGCTAGAGAGAGAGAGGAGGGTGG